TCACCAGGGGCAGGATGCAGGGAATGCCTGAGCCTTTATTATCTCCCTGCTTCCCTCTGCCAGGCATCTTCTGCCTCATCTCACAATACTACCCAGCAGTTTCTTTTTCCCAGGAAGGTTTGCATCCAGATTTATGCAGGGAAGAGGAAAGGTTGCTGCAAAGGGTGCACATGCAGTGGGAACAGCGAGGGCTTTCACCCCCAGCCCCACACAGCTTGCAGGAGTCAGAGATGCTCCTCTGAAATGTCGTTTTGAGGTACCTTGAATTGCTCTTGTTCCCTTCCACCAAGCCCTCCTGTATCAGCAGAAAACTTGGAAAATACTGACCTCTATCTGGATTTCTCATCCCTTTGCCCACACATTGTGAAAAATGTGTATTTTATGATTGGCTTTTCGCAAATATTCAAATGAATATTATATGGGTTGTGTTAGAAAGTGATGCTGTATTCATTCTCTTAAGCAGTGTGTTAAATATAGTTTTAGGTTATAAAAATGTTAAAATAGAAACTGTGCTATGTAGGATATTTTTTTTGTAAAGAAAGGACTTGCGCTGAGATAGCAGCCACAGGACACCTGAATCTTTCAGAGAGAAAGAATTTATTGCCCTCTTATCAGAAGAAACGAACTTCTTCCTGCCTCGAAGGCACTGTCAGGATTCAGAGGAAGAAGCTGACACTGCCCAGACAGAATCCTGTATTTGAATGGAATTTAGGCATCATGGATGAGGTGTATGAATATGCAACAGGCTGTTGCTTTTAAGGGTTAATCCTCTGTTAACGTGGGTCCTTTTTTGGGCTTATTTTGCCCAGAAAAGGTACCTGGACAGTCTGTAACTCTTCGTATTTATTGTCTCATATTGTCCTAATTCAATTTGTCCAAATTATTATTACTCTAATTATATTACTATTTTTAAAACCATTTTATTACTATTAAACTTTTAAACTTGTAAAAACAAATGATTGGCGTTTTTCACACACGCTCTTTCCCTCTGTCCCAGACCAGTTTATACCTTGCTTGTGGTTTATTCCATATTCCACCAAGAACTTCCTTTCACAGGGGGGAGTTCTCCCTCCCAAAGCAGCTCTTTCACCTGCTGGGCTCCCTGAGGCAGAGCTGGGCTGTCTCCTGTCCCATGGGATGGGATGGGATGGGATGGGATGGGATGGGATGGGATGGGATGGGATGGGATGGGATGGGATGGGCCCCACAACAGCAGGCAAGCGATGCCCAGGCAGAGCAGCTGCCTTGGCATGGCACAGGGAAAAGCTATCATGTAGCCAGAGCAGGGAAAACAAAGCGATGGGAGGCAAAACTTTTCAGCTTTTTGTGCCATTCCCTGCCCCACTGTGCCCAGGAGAGTGCATTTCAGGATGAGCCACCTGCACCTTGCAAACAGCCCTTGGGCCATCCTCTTCCCAGCTCACCCCGAGCCTGAAGCTCTGCTACATAAACTAGGGGACATGGGTCAGCCCAGGCATTTGTTTTTTATTAAAATCAGGAGTTTTCATTAAATCAAGGCATGCTCCTGCCAGCCTGCAGCCTGAGGAAAGCTTGGCTGCTGCTGATTTGACCTGCTGAGGTCCCAAAAGAAAGGTGGTACTTTAACAAACTGTCCCAAGCTTGGAAAAGCAGTGGAACTGCAGAGCAAGCAGTGGGAGAAAAGCTCTTTGTGCTGCAGGTGGAAAGCACCTGGTGCAGCCAAGCTGAGCTCCAGCCTCTTTTATCCCTCTGCTGCAGAGCAGGCTGCAGGCACAGCCAGCCTGTCACAGCCCTGGGGGGAAAGGGGTCAGAAAAGGATGAGCAGGGGCAATAAAAAATGGGAAAAAAGTTGATTTTCTGGGAAAATGGGGAACAGGCATGTGGAAAGCAGGTGCCAGCCCTCCCACCACGGGGGCTCAGCCACCGACTGCACCATTCACTCATCCTACAGGGACAAATCCCGAGGAAACGCATCCAGGGGGCTCGGCCCCAGCAGGACACAGCTCCGGGGCACTGCAGCGCCGGGAAGGGGCTCAGGGCCCGTGGCTTTGCTGGCTCCGGCTGTCCCCACCCGGCTGCCACCTCTGTCCCACCCTCCCCAAAGGGAGGAGGGGGCTGGCAGCCGGCGGAGCGCGGTGGGAGAGGCGGCAAAGCACCGGAGCGCGGGAGGCAGAGCTGCTGAGAGGTAGGGAGCCCAAACCCCCTCGGCAAAGCCATTGCCAGCTCCTTAGGTCACCCCCAGGGCTGAGACGGACCCCTGGCTGCAGAGATGCTGCCCTGAAAAAGCGCTGAAAATGGGTGGGGATGCAAAGTTTGGGGTGGGAATGGAGTTAGGCAGCCCTGCTCCTGGGGAAAATGGTGAAAATGGGTGGGGATGGAAAGTTTGGGGCAGAAATGGGGTCAGGCATCCCTCCTTCTGGGGAAAATGGTGAAAATGGGTGGGGATGCAAAGTTTGGGGTGGAAATGGGGTCAGGCATCCCTCCTCCTGGGGAAAGAGCTGAAAATGGGCGGGGATGGAAAGTTTGGGGCAGAAATGGGGTCAGGCATCCCTCCTTCTGGGGAAAACACTGGAAATGGGTGGGGATGCAAAATTTGGGGTGGAAATGGGGTGAGGTATCCCTCCTTCTGGGGAAAATGGTGAAAATGGGTGGGGATGCAAAGTTTGGGGTGGGAATGGGGTTAGGCATCCCTCCTTCTGGGGAAAACACTGGAAATGGGTGGAGAGGGAAAGTTTGGGGTGGGAATGGGGTTAGGCATCCCTCCTCCTGGGGAAAACACTGGAAATGGGTGGGGATGGAAAGTTTGGGGTGGGAATGGGGTCAGGCATCCCTCCTCCTGGGGAAAATGGTGAAAATGGGTGGGGATGCAAAATTCGGGATCGGCATGGGGTCAGGCATCCCTCCTTCTGGGGAAAACGCTGAAAATGGGTGGGGATGCAAAGTTTGGGGTGGGAATGGGGTCAGGGATCCCTCCTTCTGGGGAAAATGGTGAAAATGGGTGGGGATGGAAAGTTTGGGGTGGAAATGGGGTCAGGCATCTTTCCTCCCTTCCCAGCCCCAGTGATGGGAGAGGGGAAAGGCCCTGTGGAGGCAGCTGTGCCTTTTACCAGCGGGGCTGATGGGGAGCAGCATCACTCACAGCCCTGGGAACAGAACCAGGAGGGTCAGGTTGGTCCTGCCCAGCATCACCTCCTCCTTTTCCACCTCCGTGGAAAGATTTAGTGCACTGGGAAAAGTTGGGGAGCTCCAGGAAAAGTGTTGCTAAGCAAGCTGGGGAAGGGAATGAGAGCTGCTTTTCATGGGAGCTGTGCCTGAAAGCAGGCTTTTCTTTGCAGGAGTTTGAGGAAAGGGAGGGAGAGCAGATGGAAAAACTGCCAAACCAGGCAGCTGGGCCAGGCCAGGGAGCAGTGCCTGGTGATGGGCAGAAGAACCCTCTGTGCTGCTCAGGCATGAGAATCATTCTTTTTTTCCTACCTTTCCACCTTTCTTGGGGGCATTTTAACTTTTATCTGGCTTTTTATCTTTTCTCTTTTTTCCCCTCTGATCCTCATCTGCCTCGTGGCCAGTGCTGGAGCCTGAGTGCTCACAGGGATGTGTCACATTTGGAGCTGATCAGGCAAGGATGAACCCCTGGGGAGGATTTCCAGGACAGGAAAATCTCTTTTAACCCAACAGGGTGAAGAATATGGAGCCTGGGTGGGACAGTGATGCTGGGATTGGGCAATGCCATGAAAGCTCTGCCAACTGAGCTGGGTATGAGGAGAACCAGGGCATGGCTTTTTTTCTGGTTTTTCCCAGAAAAAGCCTGGGAAAACACCAGTGTGATCCCTCCTGATGGGTTTCTATGCAACACTGTCAAGTGAATTTAAAAGACAAACTCTGCAGCCACGAGCAAGGGAGCAAAACCAGCCTGAAGAAATGAAAGAGCCTGAAGGAATGGCCCACGCCTCCTGGCTGGCTCTCAAGGAACAATGCAAGGTCACCACCTGCAGCTGGTAAATGCCAGCTTTAAGGTAGCCCTGGAAACCTTGCTTCAGGCTGCCTGTGGTGTGGGACACTCTGCAGCCCTGCCTGGGCAGCACAGAGGAGCCTGTCCCTGGAGCAGGGGGTCCTGGGATTGCTGCTCTGCTCCCAAAGCTGAGGGGAAGGAACAGAGCTGCTTATGGATTAAAAAAATGCATTTGGGGTGAAGAGAGGTGAAGACATCAGTGTGGAGGAGGTGAGCAGAGCTCACCTGGAACTGCCTGCAATGCACACAGGGATTCACCCTCTCAAACAATGACCCATTGGATTTTGCATTTCCCATTTTCCAGGCACAGACCTGGCCCTGACCCATTGGATTTTGCATTTCCCATTCTCCAGGCACAGACCTGGCCCTGACCCATTGGATTTTGCATTTCCCATTTTCCAGGCACAGACCTGGTCCTGACCCATTGGATTTTGCATTTCCCGTTTTCCAGGCACAGACCTGGCCCTGACCCATTGGATTTTGCATTCCCCATTTTCCAGGCACAGACCTGGCCCTGACCCATTGGATTTTGCATTTCCCATTCTCCAGGCACAGACCTGGCCCTGACCCATTGGATTTTGCATTTCCCATTTTCCAGGCACAGACCTGGCCCTGACCCATTGGTTTTTGCATTTCCCATTCTCCAGGCACAGACCTGGTCCTGACCCATTGGATTTTGCATTTCCCGTTTTCCAGGCACAGACCTGGCCCTGACCCATTGGATTTTGCATTTCCCATTTTTCAGGCACAGACCTGGCCCTGACCCATTGGATTTTGCATTTCCCATTCTCCAGGCACAGACCTGGCCCTGACCCATTGGTTTTTGCATTTCCCATTCTCCAGGCACAGACCTGGCCCTGACCCATTGGTTTTTGCATTTCCCATTCTCCAGGCACAGACCTGGCCCTGACCCATTGGATTTTGCATTTCCCGTTTTCCAGGCACAGACCTGGCCCTGACCCATTGGATTTTGCATTTCCCATTCTCCAGGCACAGACCTGGCTCTGCCCCATGGAAACAGCACCATCTCCCCAAAGACCCCCAAGCTCTGAGCAGGCTGATACACCCTGAGTGATGAAAACCATGCCACTGATGGCTTCTCTCCAATTTTTGGAGTGTTCTATGGTGAGTGTTTGGCTGCTGCCTTGCACACACCTCTGTCACTCTGCCAGAGCAGCCCCTGCAGCCCTGCCTTTCCCCTCCTGAGATCTTGGTTTTAAATTGGCTCAATCCACATCCCAGTTTACCAGGAGGTTGCCCAGCCACAGAGCAGTCAGACAGCTCTCCCACAACTCCACAGGAAAGGATAATAAATGATAATAAAGCTTTACCTCCAGCACACGGGGCATTGCACAAACAGGATTTCCCCAGCCCTCATCTCCTCATCTCCCTCTGGAGAGATGCCAGCCTGGCACAGCCTGTCTGGGGCTGGGGGTGGGCATGTGAGCAAAGAAAAGGTGCAAAATGCTCTTGGGAGGATCTGACCTACTGGGGAAAGGAGAGGACAGTCTCCACCAGGTGTTAGGCAAGAGCTGTCACTGCCAGCATGTTGGGAGGCTGGTTTGTATCACCTGTGACATGTCTGAGCCTGAAAGCAGGTCAGCAAAATGCCTGGCATGAGGATTTTTGGCATGAGTAGGGTGAGGGTGTTACTCTTCACCCTTGCAAAGTAATAAAGACAGTGCTAGCACATACCACAGCTTGATGGGGACTTATCAGGCTAAACCAAGTGACCAATTTCTTTGGGAGAATAATCACAAAAACCCCAAGTGACAGCCAATTCAACAAACCCACATTTCTGGGAAACAGAGGAGAACCAAACCTCTGCAACTCGGGGGGAGGATTTTGAGCTTTCTGTAGTACATGGATATTTATATCCCAGAAAATCTTCCTGCAATGTGTGTGTGCTCCCTGAAAGTGTCCTCCCAGAGGCCATAAATAATGGTAGATTTCTTTGCCAGGTGATTTTGCACCCCAGTTCAGGGTGGTGCTTTGCAAGTGCAAATCCCACCTCTGTGGGGTGTTGGACACCCCCTGTCACCCCCTGTGCCACTGAAAACATGGCTGGGAGAATCCTGGACATCAAGGCATGACAAGAATCCATCAGTTTCACCAGAGGGTGGCTGTCTGTCCAGCTTCCACGTGCTAATCACCTGTGCCACTGCTCTGTGTCACCTTGCAGGGAAGATGAGCTCTGGCAATGGGACCTCTCCCACCCCACCTCTCCATGGGCTTCTGGAGCCAGTGCCACCCAGTGCCACCTCCCCTGAGGGGACAGACTGGCTGCCCATCATCGTTGGGCTCGTCTGCATCTTCCTGGTGCTGGCCACCCTCCTGACCTTTGTCACCCTCTGTCACCCTCCGGTGCTGGGCCCGTCCCTCTGGGGCCCCCAGGAGTGGCTGCCCCAGCACCCCATGGATGCCAGCCAGCCCCAGCTGAGGCTCTGGAAGCCTCTGGGCTCCCTGAGGGGCTCCATCAGCAGCTTCAGGAGGAGCCAGATGGTGTCTCAGAGCCCCCTGGCCTGTCCCAGGAGCTTCTCCAGCAGCCAGGACTGGGACATCATGGAGTCCACCAAAATGTGATCTTGCCCTGCTCCTCCTTCCCAAGCTTTTGGCTCCTTTCTCAAGCACCCCTTGGTATCCTGAGTAGAGACCCTTTGAGCAGCTCACTTCCAGGCTCTGTGACAGGAGATTTTGCAATGTCAGGTTCCCAAATGCTTTCCAGGTTACTGCTTCCTGCCAGGGAAGGTGGAGGCATCCAAACTACACCCACACGGCTACCACCGGGCAGTCCAAAACCAAAAATCCTGCTGCTTCATTTCTTTTGGAAAACATTGTGCAAGTTGTGCTGCACCTGAACAAACAGCCTGGAAGAGACTGGGAGCAACCTGGCTGCCTGAAGAGAGGCAAACCTGCTCCACAGACAGCAATCCTCAGTGGAGTTATCCTCGGGAGCAGGTGGAGGGAGGCTCTGCCCCCATGTGCTGCCTGGTCCCTGTCACCCCCCTCCATCCTGAATGGGCTCTGGGTTGCTGTGGTCAATTCATTCCCATTCCTGCTCTCTGGCCCTGCTCTGCCTGGTTTTGGGAGAAAGGGATGGGGAAACATCCAGAAACTCTCTCCTGCTGCCCTGGGGATGTGGGGACGCATTGAAGGGAGAGACCTTCTGTACAAATGGTTCACGCTGAAGATGTGAATTAAACTGAAGCTGGCTGATGGCTCATTTCTGTTTCTCTTCCATGCTGTTCTGTGGAAAAACCACTTCCCCCAATTACTTCCTCTCTTTTGCCATGGACTTCCAAGGGCATCCCCCTTTTTGGGAAGCAGGTTCTAAGAACAGGCACTTTGCTGCCAGTCAGACTCGAGTTCCCTCCCTTCCTCCAATTTGCCAAACTGGCTCAATTTTAGGAGTCCAGTGCAGGGCCACACCTCCATCCTGGGACTGCAGACTGGTGCTGATCCCAGAGCAGCAGGTCCACCAGGTGATGAAGAGCCACAGGATCCCTTGGGGACTGGCTGCCTGGAGCAGGCACTGGGCTCCCAGCAAACCTTTTGTGGCAGGAGGCAAAAGGCTCCTTTCTTCTCTGCCGGTGACTCACACAGCCAAGGACAAAGCTGTCCCTTTGCCTGTGCCTGCAGAGGTATTGAAGGCAGAGGGAGCCTTCCCAGGGCCCTCTGCAAAAAGCCTTTGGTGCCTGCTCCAGAGGAGCCCCGGGTTTGAAGGGATGCTGGAAGCCCGTGTGAATGCCCGCATTCATTCCGTGCTCACTGAGCCATTCAGCTCTGCCCACCGCTCCCTCAAAGAGCCACAAACATGAAAGCAAAGTCCAAATGCTTTTCTCCCTCTCTGAGGGTTTCCCCCCCTCTCTGAGCATCTCTTTGCAGGCACTCTGCTCCCTCCCCATGGAGATCTCTGCTTGGGAGGAGGGAGAAAGCAGGGATGGAGCCAAAGAGGCCTTGCCAGCACAGGGCTTGGCTCTTCTCCTCTCACCCCCTGCAGAAATGGGGTGAGTTCCTTAATTTCCACCTGTTCTTTGCTGCCTTCTCCCTGGCACTCCCAGCCTGGGCTGGCAGAGGAGTGGATGAGCAAGAACATATCTCACCCTGCCCCAGGGAACAGACAGGGAGGGAAAATCCCTGTGCTGTGCTTCCAGCAGCGCGCGGTCAGGGCACAGCGAGTGGGGGACCCCCAGCTCCCACCCCAGGGTCCCAGGGGAAGAGCCACGTGCCTGCACAATGCTGCTGGCAGCTGGGATGTCCTCGGGGACACTGACTTCATAGCTGCTCTGCAGGAAGATGGGTCTGTTGTCATTGACATCCAGCACGGTCACGTACACGGTGGCGGTGCCAGTGCGCCGGTTCCCCGTGGGGCCGTTGTCTGCAGGGACACAAAGGGGAGGGAGGAAGAGAGGTTCAGCCACCTCCTCTTTGCACAGGAGGTGCTCAGCCCATGGCTGCTGAAATAACAGGATCGAGATTTCTAAACTAAAACATTTCATCTTTTCGCAGCTTTTGAAATCCCACACTGAACCATGGGTTTTTAGGGTTTTTTCCCCCTCCTTTCTATTCTGCAGAACCACCATGCTATTCTGAAAGAAAAAAGGAAAAGCCAATCCACCCCCAAGCTCTGCCATGGAGCCCAGTGAGCCCAGAAATGCAACTGATCATTAGAGAGGATTTGCAGTTCCATACACCAAGTGAAGGGACTGCTGGAGCCAGGGATTTGGGAGGTGGAGGCAGCCTGATGAATTCTCCACAGCTGCAGCTCAGCTCACAGTCAAGGAGCACCAGGATGGGTTGATGGTCAGTAGACAAGGACATGGCAGCACAGCTCTTGGATTTGCCAGGAAGAATGAGGCACTGGGAAGCATGGAGTGGGGTTGGATTTTTCAACATGCCTGATTTGCAGGGAGCAATAAACCCACCCATCTGGGAGCCTGTGGGATCTGGGAAAACACAGGCAGGGTGATCCCCATGGGAGGGGCACAGCAGACCCTTGGCCCCTTGGGATCCAATCCCGTGTGCCCAGGCAGGGCAGCATCCCTGCTGCAGCCCCTGCAATGGCACCTGCAATGCTGTGCCCCCAACATTTCTGTCCAGGCCACTTCTCCTCTCCAAAGGGACATCCAAGGCATCTGTGAACAGGCACATCATTATAAAGCTCTGGGGATGACAGCCAAGCTGAGTTTGGCACAGGGACCCTCTGCCTGTGCCAGGTGGCTCAGGGTTAATCAGCAGCCACAGAGCCAAGGGCTGGCATGGCAGGAGGGGAACGATGCTGTGGAGTTGGCATTTTTGGGTAGAGGGCTGCCCTGGACAGTGTGGAGCCTCTCAGGAACAGGGAGCCTGCCTTCCCAGGTGAAAGGGAGAGCCCTGGGGCTGGGCAAACCTGAGAGGAGAACACACCTTCTGCAAAAGTCATGGTGGAAGTGGGACACATTAATTCACATGTGCAATGTTAGCACCAGGCACAGGCTCTGCTTTGGAGAGCACCTCAGAGGTCACTGCCCCTCTGACACTCCTGCAAGGGAGCTCCACACGTGCATGGCCACCACCTGTGGCTGTGTGGCAGTGGGATCCCTGGGAAATCCTTACCAATGGCCTCCAGGATCAGTGTGTAGGATGCCACAGTCTCCCTGTCCAGACTCACGACTGTCCTGACCACCCCGTCCCTGAAGCCAACACTGAATTTGCCATCCTGGTTCCCACCTGCAGCAAAGCACAAGCAAAACAGAAACTTGGAATGGGCCAGGTTGGGTTGGGAGGGACCTTAAAGATAATTTTGTTCCAACACCTCACCGGGGGCAGGGACATGTCCTAGACCAGGCTGCTCCAAGCCCTGTCTAACCTGACCTTTAACACCTCCAGGGATCCAGGAGCATCCACTACTTCCCTGGACAGCCTGTCCCAATGCCTGGCTACCTTTTCAGTGAAGAAATTTCTCCCAATATCTAATCTGAATCTTCCCTGGTGCAACTTGAGGCCATTTCCTTGGATTTTGTGGCCTGAGCACGGGGTCAGCCCAGCTGTGCAAGGATAGTTTGGTATCTTGTCCCTGGCAGAGCACCTTCCCTCTGCCTCACAGCAGAGGAAAAATCCAATGGATGTAGGAAAAGCTGGGTCATTTCCTGAATGCTTTGAGGCAAACTGGGCTAAGTTTGCACGTGGGCTGTGGTACCTGTGGGACAGCACACCCTGATTCACCAGCGGAGGAGAGGCCAGAGGGGCCGGGACATGGAACAGCAGGCTGCTGTTGTAGGAAAAGTGGCTCTCTGGTGACACTTCTGTTTTCACCCTCTTCCTGAGGGCTCGGTGTGCAGTTTGCAAGTCAAACCGTGGCCAGGGGATTCCCCAGCCTCCTGCTGCAGGTGCTGCAGCTGTGGGGCGAGCCGGGCACTGCCTGGGAAGCATTGCTGCCCACCCAACCCCCCCCCCGCCCAAAAATGCCCCAAGTTTCCATTTACGCCCTCCAACAGTGAACCCTGATGAAATCCACCCCAGGCCTTGCTCCCTAGCCGTGTTCTGCCCATCCTCATGCTTTTCCAGGGTCAGCAGAGTGGTCAGCGTGGCCGGGAGCCGAGCGGGGCTGTTCAGCAGAGGGCGATGCCGGACAAGGATTGGAGGGGCTGGGAAAGGCAGAGCTGGAGTGCAGAACACCCTGGCCGAGGTCTGGGGCAGCCTGTGCCTCCCTGCAAGCCCAGTTCCCCTCGTGGCATGGGGCTCCCACCTGTGATGAAGTAGCTGAGCTCAGCGTTCAGCCCGATGTCGGCGTCCGTGCAGTTGAGCCGCACCACTTTGAAATCCCGGGCCACGTTCTCGGGCAGGGACACGTTGTAGACAGCAGGGAAGAAGGTGGGGTTCTCATCGTTCACATCCAGAACTGGAAAGGGAGAGCAGAGCTGAGTGTGCTGCCAGGGCTGGCTGCCCCTCCTGCAGAGGCCAGGCTGGGCTCCCAAACCTCCTCTCAGCATCCCAGGGAATGCTGTGCATGACCCTCCCTGCCATTTGGGCACTGGGGTGCCTGCAGAGTGGCTCTAGGCTGTATTTGGTTGCCTCTGATACACACAGATCACCCTCCTCACAGCCAAAAAAACCATTGCATCACTGAAATTCAAGGTACTGTTTTCACCAAGCTTGTTTCCATCCCCGTTCAAAGGAAAATCTGGGGTTTAAATACAAGCTCAGTACTTCCTGGGGCATGGCACAGACCAGGAACTTTTTTTCCCAAACTCAGGCCTGAGGACAGTGCAGGGTCAGTTTATTTCCAGATGATGCTTATCCTTTTTCAGCACTAGCCTTGCATGAAGCCAGCAAACAGAAAGGCATTAAATTAAAGGCAGGCCTTGCAATAAGCTCCAGCTCTGAGCTGGGATTGCGTGGGCTGTCCAGGCACGCAGCTGATGGGAATCACATGCTGAAGCAAAAGAAAAAAGCAACACTGGGGATGGGGGAATGGAGGAAAAAAAAGGATAATTTGGGTGGCCCTGCCAAAAGCACCACGTTTTCCCCATCTCTGCAAAGTGTTGATAGCAGACATGGAGCCTGTGGGGATGGAGCCCTCCCTATGCACAAAGCCAGACCTGACCCTGTTTCCAGGCTGTGAAAAGTGCATATTATATGGCTCTACACAGATATTTACTATATGTATTTTGTTGTATTGTTTAGCAGTGCTGTATTAACATTTTAATAGTATGGTAAATGTAGTTTTGTAGTTAAAAGGGAACTTCTGTAGTTAAAATAGGAACTTTGTATGTGGGATATTTTTTTTTAAGAAAGGAATGAGGTACTCACATCAGATAGCAGCCAGAGGACACCTAAATCTCTCAGAGAAAGAGAATTTATTCTCCATTATCAGAAGGAATGAACTTCTTCCCACCTTGCTCAGCCATGAAGACCCCGTTTAGGATTCAGAGGAAGAAGCTGACACTGACCAGACAGAATGCTTTGTTTGAATGGAATTTATGCATCATATATGAATATGCAACAGGCTGTTGCTTTTAAGGGTTAATCCTCTGTTAACGTGGGCCTTTTTTGGGCTTATTTTGCCCAGAAAGAGGTACCTGGACTGTCTGTAACTCTTTGTTTTAATT